TTTATTAGCATATAGATAACTTCAAACTTTATGTTGCTCAGTGAGATAGATTAGTGCGTGAAGTTTGCAATTGTGAACAACTTAAGCAGATATGTGTTATGTTATGCTCATATCTTAAAAAAATCTACGTCAGTAAACCTCAGCTCCAGTGACTTCTGAAGGAACTTAGAAATACGATTCAAATCCCTTTTGAATTTTATAGGAAAGCCTAGGAAACTTACTTGCTAAAAAGGCTTGTTTTGCCAGTAGCCTCTGCAGATTGAAGTAGGGCGTGTTGGACTGCATCCCAACGCTAGTGAAGAGGACATGTAGCAGATGAGAACCTCGAGTGTCCAAACTGCAATAGCCTAATCACATCATGATGTATATGGATGGATACACATGGTAAGGGCTATCCCAGTGACCGAAAAGAGATTTGCAAAAGGATGCACAGCCTGCAATCCTTGCCACCATAAATCTTCCTCAGAGTTTTATAGGAGGAATGGGATGAAAATTGTGAAATCTGTCAACATATTCTGTAAGAGGAAGCTTATTTATAAAATTTAAGCAGAAGCTTGAGTAACCTGGCTGTCAGAGAAAATATCTGAATAGCTGTACTTGATGTTGCTGGGAACTGGCCGTTATTAGAGAGCTGATCACAAGCTCTCGCTATTCTTCATTCGCATGGTGTATGTAGAGTTATTTGAAAGACAGTGGAGCAGGGGAATTGGAGGAAGCTTCCTGGGATGGCTGTGAGCACACAAGGAGGCCTTGCAGGCTTGTTTGAGCCGTGGGGAGGCTCGGAGGTAGAACTGGTGGTCAAAAGCACTTTCCTCTCGCTGTGGCTAAGCAGGGACAGCAGCCTCCCTCTCTGGGCATCACTTATGTATGCGAGGGGGATTTGCTCGAGTGGTATTTTCATGTCCTCATTGAAAGCACAAGAAAGGAGACAAAATAATGAAGGAATGCTGCTCCTTCATGGAGATATAAACTACTATTTTAACATCATCAAAAATTAACAGATGAGAGTGCTGTATTGTCTGGTTCATATTTCAGTCACTGCAAAGGACAGCCAGCAGCTTCAGGTTTTGTAATGAAGTAAGAATTTGGACAACAGTGCTCAAGAGCAGTATTTACATGAGAAATTAATTTTTTATTGACAAAAGAAGAGCCAAAATCTCCGGACAACTTTATTTGGCAGAAACACATTTTTATTCTCTTTGACAGGTAAAGAACATTCAGGCTTGTATTTTCACAATATTATTGGCACGTGCTCCTGATTAAGATACTTCATGATAGAAACACTTCATCATGCAGTGTCTAGTCTGCTGTGTCCCACAGAAAAAGAAATAAATGTAGATGAAATTATACCCTAGGCAGCATCGATAGTAGGTGTAAGAAGAATTAGTGTGCTGAAATAAATCTTGCCTTCCTAGAAATAAAATAGAATATTTTTGTTGTTAAAAATACTTAAGAATTGAAAAAATGGTATCACAAGTGTGTGGTAAAACAGAGGACAGAGCATGTTCATTTATAAAATACTTTAATTTTTAGGTGTAAGTCTCACTGAATCTCACATCTCAGTGAAATCTTAGTGAAGTATACTGATGATGGTAACGCTGGCAAGGTTTTTATGTAAAACCACACATAACAAAACTTGTTAAAATACAGTCTTAGTGTTTCGTTATGCCAGCAACAAATCTATTAGCCCATAGTCCCCTCTGGCTTGGTGGAAACAATGCTATCAGATACAGTTTTAATTACATCAAAGTCTCTTGTCTAGAAAATTTAAACTGCCATTTATTTCACACCTTTCTTACGGGAGATAATAATTGTTAAACGCCAAAACAATTTTGTAAGTGAATGGTTTCCGTGTTAAATTTGATTTTTCTGTTAGCCATACTCCTGTTTTATGTTGTCACTTAACAATTACTTGGACTTAATTCAGTGATAGAAGAACCATGCTCTTTCCACTTACTGCTAATGTCTGTAATAAATATAACGTGGTTGTATAGGCAAAATAATTAGTCTGGCACTGCATGGCTTTATAGTAGCTGAAGTCACTTCTCTGTATAGTGAGTTAGTCATTGATCTCCATGACTTTTACAGAATATAATTAAAGAACCATGGGTTTGATCAGAGAGGCAGGAGAGAAGTTTGACCAAATTAGATTGTGTGTGGAAAAAGTAGCTCCACTAACAGTAAAAGCATTTCAGATGTCAAGACATTTACCTGACAAAAATAATGTATTAACGGAATGTATACAGTTGTCAAAATCCCTGCTTTAAGTAATGGAAAAATACCCACTCTTCAACAGTCACAAGGAGTATAAACCTTTCAAATTGATACTTGAATCTGTAGAATAACATTATGAAAATGGAATATAGAGTGAATCATCCAGGTCTCGTCAACTAGCAATCATATGAATAGTTATGGACAGGCACTGTGAAAATTAAGATTCAGGAATTGATTTAGTATGCCAGGCTGTCTTCTAATTTGTGTTGTTATTAAGGTGAAATATTTAAGTCTCAAGAATGAAGAGTTTTCCAGCTTTGATTCCAGCAGTATAATTGACAGTTAATATGAAAAAAACCCAAAGTGTTAATCCTCAGGGGAGCTTCTCACCTGAGTCTGCTTGATGTAAATTAGGTGCACTAATACGAGTCTGAAAAAATTTATGATAGACTCCGACGGAGTAATGTTTAATAACCAAGATGAGGGAATGAATATTGGCTTTAGAAAAAATCAATTTAGCTAGAAGGAAAGAATGTTCTTCAATGGACAATGTTTATGGCCTATCAAAGGACTAGATGGAGTGGCAGTATCTAAAATAGGCATTGAACTTTTGAAGAAGATTATTAGCAATTGTTGGGTTAATCAGTGGACTGTCTTTTAGCCCTTGGCTAGGTATAGTTTCCATTGCTAAAAATGGTGGCCTCTCTCTCCCTGAGAACATAGTGAAGATAATGCAATTAGTTTTGCAGATGCATGCGTGTTGCAAGGTCAAACTCAAGACAGAGGATTTAGGTTTGTCCTTTGTGGTAGAACTAATCTGACCTGTGTTTTTATCTCAGGGAAACAGATGTGGGTTATTAACAGAGAAGGGTATCTCAAAAGAATCTAAAACCATAACCTGAGTTTGTATTGGAAGATAGTGATTTAACTTGTGTTTTTCCAAAATATTTGTGTAATTTTGGAAATCCTATAGTAGGTATGGTTAACACATCCTTAAAATAGTTGTTGTATGGATTTTCAATTTTTAGATATTTGGTTTTGCTCATTGAATCACTGTAATTATATCTGAAGAAAAAAGGGTTTCCTCATGTAAACTACACCAATAATAATAGGATTTGACCGAATAATTGTCTTAGACAATGTACAGCTGGTCGGTTCCCCAGTAAGCACAACTTAATGCAGTACTGAGCCTATTACAAACAGTGCTGGCCGCCCTGCTCCAAAGGGCAGTCAAGGATCAGGGAAGCTGTTTGCTTAGCATCTCTGGAAAAACAATCCCCTCCTCCCTTTCCTAGTATTTTACCACAGACGTGTGGCAATAACAATTCACTTGGGATCTTTGGATATGTTTTAGTAGGCACACAGGCTTGAAACGGACCACATGGGTCATCAAGTTCAGCTTCTCACAGTCATCACGAGGTAGAAATTTAGTTTACAACTATTAGACAAAAAAGCTTTTTTTAGAAATCGTAGGTTGCTAAACCTTTACAATTACCTTAAAATAATCTTAAAAAAAAAAAAGGTGTCCAGTTTTCTGTTTTATTTTGAAACTCTGGATTCAAACCCCATTTTTTTCCAACAGTTGAACTTGATTATGCCATAAGTGGTTAGTAAAATTTACTTTTTTTTTTTTCAATTCACATACCAATAAAACAATTATTGTCAGTATGATTGAAGTACTATTCTTAAATTATGGAGTGGAGTGTAATATAAAACATGATATTCCCTCATATGTATATGGAATGATATATTGTGTTCAGATGCAATGTTACTGTGACAATTGGTGCCCCAAATTACTTTCACAGTCATTATGAGATACTGCCTATACTGTGTGCTGTCAGGTGCCGAGAAGCATAAATATGATTCTATTGTGTAAACAAACAACTAGAAGTTTTCAATCTTGTTACTGTGTAATAAGTTTTATGTTGTTTTGGGCAAGGAAATAAAATGAGATTTACTGAGGCTCTAGGTTAGAATAATAGATAAGCAACCATGTTAAAGAAAAACTTATCCATTAGGAACAATAATAGAACGTTGTTACGAAGACTATATTAACGAAACAGCCCTATTCTTTGTTATGTTCCAACTTCTTCCTTTTATGCCACCTGAAGTTTTCTTAATAAAATGTTGTGGGGGTTTTTTTATAAGTAAGAAGCTTTTCTTCAAGATATGGCTATCCTGTTATAAAACATTGTTCCTCTTTTGGCTGATACTCCATCCATAGCAAACATGCTTTGTCCTTCAACCCTTTTTCCAGACTAAAAATTGCTGAAGAACATCAGGCAGCAATACTGTTGCAGGTGGTTAAGTGATATCCAGAACTCAAATATGTTTCTAAATTTTATGTCTGTCGCTTTTTCTAAAATATATGCTGCTGGTACAACTTCATAGCTTGTACAATATTCAGCTACTTAAAATGGCATTGCAAGTTTTTTAATGTCTGAATTATAGGCTATATATCTGCAGGAAAAATGATAATGTGAAAAGTGGTATAACACGTGTGGATAGCATGGTGCAACCTTTATAATATTTGCAGTGTTCTATAAGATTCATATTTTTTTTCCTAGTAAATCCTGATAAATAGAAATTTAAACAGAATCTCAAAAAAGTCAGAAATGTCAGATGTATTCATTCAAGATATAAAAGATTGTAAATATCAGGTTGTTGTATAGCTATTCTGGTCTTTCAATGTGATTTTGTGGTAAAATATTGTAGACTTAACTAAATTGAATAGAGGCATTCTTGAAAAAACTGCTGAAATAAACTCCATTCCTTTTTGCTTCCAGCAATTACTTGTCGCAGACAAGACGGAGGACAGGCTGACATCAGTGAGTGCCTTAAATACTCTGGCCCATTACCATCCTTAACACAGACCTGCCAGATTCCCTGCCAGGATGACTGTCAGTTTACGAACTGGTCAAAGTTTTCTTCCTGTAATGGGGACTGTGGAGGAGTCAGGACAAGAAAACGCACTCTTGTCGGTAAGAGTAAGAAAAATAATACAGCTTTTATTAATTATTGCTACTGTTTTGATTAAAACCTGCATTGTTCTGAGGTTCTCCTATGACAAACAAGCAATGTTTGTCGTTGTGGGAGAAAGCAGACCCAATGTCACTGTCATGCTCTATATACTCTTAGTGCAAAAAAAAAATATAACCCTTCAGGAGAACAAACTCCTACCATATGTGTCAGACTCTTGATCATGGGCAAGTGGCTGGAGAGAAGATGGGAGAACAGAGGAGGCCAGGGTTTCTTCTAAATGGAGTGCACATAGTAAACTGCAAATCAGACCACTTCTTTTTCTGACAGACAAGTCAGCGTTGACTGTAGTTCCAGGGAGGTGAAAAATGTAAAGCAGTATAATTAACCAACAATCTGATCCAGTCCAAGGAAATAAAATAAAAAAATCTTTGCCTGCATTTTTGTTGAAGCCTATGTGTTATCTTCTCACCAAAAGGGGCACAATTGTTTGCTATTTGAAAGTTTTTCATACCATGTTTATTCCAAATCTTGATTCTGCAGCCTGCTTCTGTGCACAAAGAGGTCAGGAACATTACTGGTTTATGTTTTTTATCATTTGTACAGAATTATGTCCTTGAAATTTTCTATTTGTGCTAAGCATTTAGCAAATACAAGAGACAGAATTTTGTGGTTATGCTCTCTCAAGCAATTTCTCTGAGTTACAGCTTAAAATATGAAAATATTTTTTCAAGACCATTCCTCTTTTTTTTTGCTTAAATTGTATTTGATTGATAGTTTTCAGGCAGATGTGGAATAATTTTGTGTATGTCAGAAAGGATATAAGTCATGAACACTAACTGATTGGCTCAATGGTGGAAAAAGCCACAGACTCTGGCCTCTTCAACACCATGTAGGTAGTGTGAGGCACTCAGGGAAGCCCATAAAAACTTTGCTTTGTTCTAGGGAAGGAAAACTCTTCACATCATTCTCAAATCGCTTTCAGTCCCAAACAAGGTTAAACAAGTTTAATTTTACTAACACAAGAAAACTAGATTTGGAATACTGATAATGAAAACCAGAGTGGCTGCATCCTATTAATGATTTGCATTTTCTTGATTTATGTGTATTTTCTCAGCTAAGAGTTTAGGGTGCAGGTCTGCAATTTGTTTTGATCGCTCAGCAGCCACAGTTCCATGCACAAGCCGTATCTTGCCAGCATTGTCTAACCAGATCGAATTCTCAGATTTAATTGGATCTGTTTTCTTTGGGTTTGATTTTTTACACTGAACTGTAATTGAGAAGAAAAATCTTGTTGAAATTCCTCTGGAGCTTCCAGTAGAAAACCTTTTAATAGAAAAAATACTGAAAGTGGACTTTATTTTTATTTTATGTTTTTAAAATTAGTGACAGACCAATCAAAAATCATCTCTCCTTAACAGGTTCAGGTGTTAACCCACTCACATTCCTTTTCCTACTTCTGATCTTGGCTACACCAGCATTTCCCTCTTGGATGGTGTTTTGGTGTATTAGAATTACTACGACAGCTGAGTGCTTTTCAGCCTTAAGCTTTGCTTTACCTCTTCTAAACTTCTTAGCTGCAGTCTTGAATGTCAGATTTATGGTTAAGCCGGTCCTATCCCTGGCCGAATGTTTGCTCTGCAAGTTGTGTTCTCTGTTCTTCCATTGCCTTCATTCAGCAACTCAGATCACCGCATGAGGCAGTATGTTGCTTAATTTTCTGCCTTATTTCTTGACACAACTAAAGATGCTCTTTTGTGGGTGATTTTCCTCTCCATTAGGTAAAGTCTTTCTCTGTCTAGTAACACTCTGTTACTTAGAGTCCCTTGAAAACTCTTGAGATTTTGGTTAACAGAATAAAATTTTTTTTCCAGTGATGTCCAGCCCTTTGCTGCAAACTTTTCTTTGTTTCACGTGATGAACGCCCTTCCTCTTTGACATTTTTTCATCAACTTTTTAATCTGCTCTTTTATTTCTTCTGCATGACATGAAGAGAAAAAAACATGCTCTGCTTCTAAATTATAACTGAAACCTCGAGAGTGAAACTTGGCCTCTGTCACAGCACTATTTGCCAATTAGTCTGTATTGTCTGTAGTGGAGGAAAACTAGCTAAGGGGGGTGCCCATTAGCAGCTTCAGAAAGAATGTGATAGGATCCAAACCCTATCCCCCACTCCATCCCCCTGTAAATCAGAAAACCTGTGGACAGTCTTCATGATCTTCAAGAGGACTCGCTGCGGCTGTCTTATAACTCCAGTGAACTTTATGCCAGGTTGCTTCCACAAGGGAAAAACCCCTGACTAACAATTTTTTTTATTATTATTTTAAAAACAAAGCAAGAAGAAAATGATTCTCTTACCACACTACTAACACTTGGAGATACTTCCCTGCCCTGAGTTAAGTTACTCCTTCAAATTTGCTAAGACTGTGATACGTGCTGTGGTGTATTCTCTGTGGCAAAGTGCTACCCAGCCTAACACAGAAATGCTGACTTGAAGTGAAATCATGCTTATTTATTGTGAAAATGAGGAGGAGAAGTGTATTTTTAGTATCAAGTTGTGTTGTCAAAAGAAAGATAATCTTTTCTTCAGATACCTTCTTTCTGTTCTAAATGAAGGCAGTAGTATATACAAGCACTAAGGGTGTTGCAAAGTTGTGTCCAGTGCATTGTTTTGAACAGCAAGGAGAATACTACAGAATATTCATTTACAGTAGTATGTAAGTAACAAGCATTTTTAAAACTGCTTTTGCAAAGACTTCTACATTAATATGTATAAGCTGTCTAGTATGGAAAGGAAAACTGAACAAACTTTACCAAAGAGAAGCTTAAAAATAGATTTAATGGGAAGTGGAAGGTGAGGAGGTGGCTATGCTTTAGTTGAGGAAGGAAAACAAGAACAGATTTCAAAAGAAACAATTTCACAGAAGAATCTTACTCTATTAGAGAGGAAGAATGGTAATTATTAACAAGTGTATGATAACAGGTGATGAAATTACAGGATTTTGACATTTTGAAAGAAGGAACTACTGTAGCAAAGATGCAGGTTACTTCTGCAGTTTCCTTCAACCTGAGAAAGTTTTATCCAGAGACAATATTTTTAATTGGACTGCACACTGCTGATGAAATAGGGGGGAAAATGGTATATTTGTTTAATTGCTAACTTTTCAAACGTACTCCCCAAGCACTTTTATCCAAAGTAAATACAAATACTTGGTTTTATTTTAAAAGTTGTTGCCTTCATGCAAATTGTAGGTATCCATTACTTTAGAAATTCAAGTCATTAATCTAAATGAATAAAGAGTAATGTAACTAGTTTTAGGCATGTATTTAATTGCAAGCACTTGTTCTGTACAGAAGGCTAAATGAAATTTTTGGGGAGATGTAAACTGGTACCAACTTTCTAAAATAATTATTTCTTCTTTCTAGGAAAAAGTAAGAAAAAGGATAAATGCAAAAATTCTCAGTTGTATCCTCTGATTGAGAATCAGTTTTGTCCATGTGACAAGTACAGTGCTCAGCCTGTGGGAAATTGGTCAGACTGTATCTTACCAGAGGGTAAGCTGGAAGTATTGCTGGGAATGAAGGTACAAGGAGATGTTAAGGAATGTGGACAAGGCTATCGTTACCAGGCCATGGCATGCTATGACCAAAACAATCGACTTGTGGAAACTTCACGATGCAACAGTCACGGTATTTAGAAACCTCTTTTCTTTCATCTGTTTACCTATCTGCTTTATTTCGTTTAACATAATATGGGTACAGGTAGAATTAGCAGATTAGTATTTATTGCTTAGGCTGCGTTTTATCCCAAGGTACCCTCAAACCCAGCACACATTTTTGCTGATACACAAAATAGTAGACTTTGTTTTTACTACAGTGCAATATTTGAAAGTAAAATCATGGTAAATTACTAAGTAGGTATTTTAATGCATAAAAATAAAATCTTGTTGATTTTCCTGATAACTGTACCTGTACCTTTGAAAATAAAGCCATTTAGAAGGGTCAGATCCTCAAAAAATTAACAGGGGCAGCAGAGGACTATTCTGGAAAGGCTGAAATTATTTCCATGGATTCTTTAGATAGCTTTAATCTCCTTAAATAGCCTTAGGTCTACCATGTGTCTTCAGCACCTTAACAGGCATGCATTGACCAGAGTTCAACAGGACATAACACTTTCTCTGTGTAATTCTGTCATGTGTAAAACTAGGATGCTTAAAGACTTTAAATTCTTTGTATTCACATGGCTCCTGGAGGGAGCAGTGCTCCTTCCTAAAGCGGATGCATCTATAGTGCTAGGATCAAACCCGACACTTTCTGATTTTCGGTGAGCTAGAAATGTGCTAATTTACATCACTGGAGTGTTTGTGTTCATTTTTTTTCGTGCTTGCAGTGCAAAACTGTATCTGAGCTATTGGTATGAGAAGCTGGATGTTAGTCTCAGTGTCATTAAAAGGTCAATGTAAGTTTAATTTGTATATGTTTTCTACTTCATAATGTTAAGATAACAAATTTCATTTATTTACTTGGATAAAGTTAAAATAACTAATCAAATAAATTCAGTTACTTAAGGGTGTTTTAATTAGCACTAATAATTCCTGTTTAGAGCTATGATAAATTAGAAACTAAATGTATCAAGACAAGCTGTGGCATATCTTTGTAATTCAATGGAAAACTGAGTATTCACCTTAATACCTCAAAGCAAAGCTGGAAGATAATTTTCTGAAGAGTTTTCTCCCGGTTTGTTTTTATTCAAAATCATCTTTTCCTGTAGTTAACTCATACTGAAAGATAAGTTGGCATAAATACATCTGAATCACAAAGTCTAAATCCTAAACTCCATGAGACGGGAGATCTCTCTTTGAGAATATTCTTTAATTCTGTTCTCAGCAGTTAGTTCTGGCTTGAGGTCCACAAAGATTTAGTTTTGTTCTTTTGTGTAGTCTGAAGAGGACATGCTATACTTGCTTCGCTTGACCAGGACCACTTGCCATCTTTGTAGTACCAAAAGACACAGCTGGCTCTAATGACCACCAGTTGTTGTGTGAGCATAGATCTGCCTGGGCTGGGTAGTAGTCCTGAGGGAATCAGAAAGCCCCTCAGACAGCTGGTAGGGAAAAAAAAAACTCTGAAAAAAGAGTAGTGGAAGAATCTGAATTGTTCAGAAGACACCGTTACAAAAGTGAAACTTCTTCCTATTTCTTTCTTGATTTTTTTTTTAAACTATACGTGACACTATGTTAGAAATGAGTATTCTTTCAGCATTTAGTCCAGATTGACCTTCGAAAAGTGGAAAATTGTAGAAGTACATAAGTCCATGGGAAACTAAAGGGACTACAGTCAGTCAGTTTTCGCTGACTCGAAGAATGGGGACTGTCAGGTTTTGTGTCAACAGCCAAGGGAACACACATGAGGGAAGAACCTGTCTGTCCAAGACCAAATTGTAGGTGTTTTAAGTGGAGATAATGTGCTGCTTGAAGTAGTTTGCAAAAAGAGGTCGGACCTCTTTCTTTGTGTGGAACAACCATGGATGTAGCTGCTTTCAAGCCCTGGCAGTGCATGTTGAGGGACAATTCCATTGCAAGAATCAGAGAGATATAAAAGAGGAATTAAAACCGGGAAAAAAATATGTTCTCAACCATCTTTGTTTCCCTTGTTATAACTCTTCATGATAGCAGTTTCTAATGGATTTTATTAGGGAATGTTATCTACACACACGGTGACCACAATGAATAATAATACAACGGAAAAGCTACTAACTGTATATTGTTATTATACCTACTATACCCAGGGCTACCGTTTACATGCTGTTAACACTAGCAGGCTCCAGAGACAACCTTCCCAAAACACAATATAGCATTGCTTTGTTTTGTTTTTGTTCTTTCTACAGTTCCATCTCATTTTTCTCATGGGAGTTTTGAAGTCTCTTTTAGCTCTTTTTGTAAACTGGAAATGTTTGTGAGTCATTAGTATATTTATTGTAGATTGGGAAGCTTGAACACTTTCCTTTATGGGGTTGTTTTGTTTTGAATTCTTTCTCTCAATCAGTTTACTGAGGTGTCTGGTTCTTTGATCCACACACACACCCACACCACACCCCCTTTCCATTATCTGTTTTTGACAGTGAAGCACAAGGCATCTGTGCGTTTCCTCATCAGTGCCATTTGAGGGAGAGAGTACCTTTATCTTGGTCCATGGTGTAGTGCATGGGCAGATGAAGCTTGGAATTGCTGTTGAACCAATCCTGCATTCCTTGCACTTCCTAAAATTGTTTGACGGGAATTTCAGATGTACAGGAAGTGAGGTATCTAACCTGACTTTGATGGTAAGGAATTAAACTGATGCAAAGGACTATGTCACTAAACTTATAGATTCCTTTCCAGTAGCTCTTCTAGAACAAAGATCTATTATTGATATGTGTGTACATACACAAACTACAGATTATTTCTAAGGCTCTCCTAATTTATTTTCTGCCTTCAGCATTTTTCCAGGTTTAGCGCATTTTTCCAGGTTTAGCACATTTTTGCAGACACAAGGGGGCTAGAACAGGTGATATAGATGTTAGAATCTAATTTCAATATATGTTTACTGCCTTTTCTGAATATCTGCTTTGTATTCATGGATTGTGTTCTGATGATTTGTTTTATTTTTCTCAACATGTATAAACTGCTGTTTTGCCAGTTAAATCTTATTTTATATCTTGCCAGTATTTATGTTGTTTTTCTTGTTATTTTCATACTCTTGGTGTATGACAGTCCTTCAGTTTGGCATCATCTCAAGATTTCAGTGTGCTGTTTGTTTTTTTTTCTTTAAGAACAAACATAAAAGCCATATTATGCCAAATCAACAAGGGACTTCTGTGGTATCACAATAGTTACCCCACCTGCTAGCAAATAAAAGTAGCTTCTCATCAATCTGCTTTTAGTTTTTCAAGCTAAACTTGACAGGACTCATAATTCAAGCCTACTTGTTTTTTCCTTTTGTTTTTTTTTTTTTTTTTTTTAAATTCTAAAGGAGTTGCTTATTCCCCTGCGGAAATGATAGCACTGAATTTTTCACTAATTTTGTAGCTGATCCAGAGAAGAGTCAGGTTTGTCTGCTACGTGATCTACTTTATTCAGAAATCTGTTTTACTGTTCCTGTGAGTGCGTTACTTCTTTTCCAAGTAGCATAGTGTGTAATCATGGTTTTTATGGGATATGATTTAGCAAATTAGCTTGGACTAGGAGAGAAATCAAGACCATTATTTGAGGGAAGATGTTTCTTGTGTGGTGTCCAACTTTTACTTGAACTTTTGTTGTCTCCTGACGCTATTAAATCATTAGGTGAGAAATGGGGATAATTGTACTTCACCTGTGACAACATTCTCTAGATCTGACAAAAGGGATAAACTACACCCACACTGATGTTATTAATATATCATGGGACATGATGTGTGATGTACTAAAACGCCACGAGAAACTCAAATTGTGAGACTGTCAAAAGTTTTATGTAAATGCTGTCATGTAACTTTATGAGGCCATAAGCAGGTCAATGTTGCAAGTCATGCTGTTCTGAGAGGGAGGAATCAGAAGACAGACATGCCCTGCAGTGCCAAAAACTTCATAAGCTGTTTTGCAAAATGTTATGTGCTTATAATCACAATTCAGTTGATTTACTCAGGAAAGAAAAGGTAGACAGGAGCAGAAGAATAAATACTTCAGAGCTCTTTTTACTGCTTGACACGTCTCATTTTTCCAAAGACTTGAGCAGAGTTAACTAACAGTTTCACAGACATCAAAGAGCTAAAGGAAGGATGCGACACAAGGAAGGCCCTAAATTAGTAGACACAGAAGATTTGTGTGATAATCTTTGAAATTTTGAATGCAGCTACAAAGTCTCAAGTACAAACAAGTTTCTCAAAATGTGGTTACATAAATGTATTGTTTGCTAGTTGAGAACACTGGAGAAGCAGAGGGCAGAGTTCTGAAGAGGTTCCTTAGCTTTCTGTAGCTTAACAGGTGCTTCAGAAGAAATCCCAAACTAACAGCTGAAAATAAAGCTAAGTTTCAGCTGCAAAGGGACAAGTTTTTATTTTATTTTATTTTATTTTATTT